GCATTGATAAAATTTGGTAATACAGTCTTGAAAACTAATTCTAGTCTTACATGCTAAAATCATGACTAGTTCTTTTTCATTTGGTGTCTATCATCTCTTTGTCAAATCTTGGGTCTCCCCTGTTGTCTTTTTTCTTTCTGTGTTATAAAATATTCAGAAGAAGAAAGAATATTGAAAATTGTGAAGTTTGTTGAGAATGTTCTCCATGAAAGTTTTTTTTGCTAACCCAGCAAATAGTGAATTCCCTCATACAAACTCAGTTTTCTCAAGATATTGGCATTTGCTAACAAAAATTAATTCATCTTTGTTGGATATTAGTTCACAGAAATTAGAAATTGTACTTCATCTTTGAAGCAGGCCTAGTTCAACTTTGTAGGAAATAATGCTTTTTTTAAAAAAAAATACTTCAAACCAAGTAAAGAGAAATAACAAATAATGTCATTTCAATTGATTTTTCTTAGTTCTTTTGTCCAGGATATTGTTTGATCACCTTTGGTAACTCTGCCACTTACCTTTGGAGATCATGTTATCAAGTTGTAGTACAGAGAAAGTTTCTGTTTACAGAAAGTTCAGTTGCTTCTTTCACAAAAGTTACTGAAAACACTTTTCGGCTCAGAATTCTAGGATTACAGTAGTGCCGAGTGGAGCATAGTAGATCTGACTGGAGAAAGTTACATGAAAGTTACAAATCACTCCCTCCTCATAACTCCATATGCAAGTAGGAATATTTCATATGTAGTTAGACACAAAATTTCGTAAATCAGTATTTCTTAACTGAATTTTCCTGATAACCCAGCTCAAAAAGTCCAATACTTGGCCAAAGGGATAAATGGAACCCCTGTTACAAATATTCCATACATGGCCCTCTGGTGTTCAAGTTATAAACATGATATTGAGGTTGTCCTATAACTAAATCATGATTCATCCTCTCACTTCCCATCATCCTTCACGCCTCACCTCAGAGCAAAGGTTGCTCCTGAAAAAAAAAAACACTAGAAAACTTCCTACATGGATCTCTCATGGTTTTGAAATATGTTTTGCTGAATCTGACCTGTGATAAAGAGAATGCAAAGTTCATTATCATGGAAACTTAAGAGAGTAAAACTCCTCTCTCTGTGCACTATCTTAAATCCATTAACTAATTAGAACAACTATTCCCTTCACACACACCTTGTTTTCTAATGAATCACAAAATTTTCTTGACAAGCTAGTAACTATATATGGTTGGTGTTTTCTGCTTCATTGTATTAGTCCTTAGTGCAAGACCTTGGTCACAAGCAGACCGACCACACATAAACCAGAAACCAAATGTGGTGTTCACAGTGTTAAGGTTCTTTGTTGCTACAAAAAAGGCTGTAGCAACTAGGAAGACCAAATCTTAGGGCTGATTTTTTTCTTTATTTTTTTCTTTTTGGGTCACACCTAGCGATGCACAGGGGTTACTTCTGGCTCATGCACTCAGGTATTACTCCTGGAGGTGCTCCGGAGACCATATGGGATGCTGGGAATCAAACCAGGGTCTGCCGTGTACAAGGCAAATGCCCCGCTGTGCTATCGCTCCAGCCCTGGGGCTAAGCATTATTATCAGTTTATTTGTCCTTATTCTGTCACTGCAATACTTAGCAGTTAACTTGTATAGGTTGGGACACAAAACAGATGGATTCCTTGGGCATACATGGCAATGACAAAGTTCATTTTGCCAAATGAAGTGAAAAAGAAGATATCGATGAGATGCAGGAGAATGTTGTACTAGAGTGACTATAATTTTTAGACTGGTAAAATTGTAACTTAGATTAAAATATAGGTGACAAATTTTGAGTCTAGGCTATTTCCCCAGAAAACCACAACAATTTATGTAGCCAATTTTCAATTACCCGTCCAAGGAGAAATAGCAATAATGGCAATTATCCAAAAGAGTACATAATAAACAAATTCATTTTTATTTGACTTTGAAATACTGCTTTGTATTCTAAAGCCAACATTTCAATATAGATGTCTTCTATATTCTGAAAGTTGCAGGGCCTCAAAGTATTGCACATAACACTTTAGAAATCAGACTGAAGATAAGGGCTTATAATTTTGTCTTGTTTTGTACAATACATTTCTGTTCTTTGTATTATTGGTGAGAATAGTTTTTAAGAGTTATAATTCATCCTAAAGCAGAGAAAGTTCTAAGTATGTTTCATAGTTTGTATTTTATCTTTCTAGCACAGATGATAATTTTTTTTACTTGAAAGGACACACTTTTATCCTGATCTTCCTTAACCAATATTGGTTAAAAAAAATAAAGAATAAAATAAAACATTTTAAGCAGAATTGATAGTCAAATTAAAAAGTATTATCTAAGAGAGTCTTGTGTTTAATCTAAAACATTTTCCAGTGGAAAATTTATTTGTCTGTATGTATATTTCTCTACATGTATTTTGGCCCCATCCGGTTATTTTTCATTAAGTACTACTATGTACAGAAGTCTATCTGGTGCATGACCTGGCTCATACTAGTTATTAATAACTTCATTTCCTTTATCCCTTACTTTTCTTCAGTCAGTGTTTTTTGTAAAGCACATCATATTAATGTCTCATGCACTTTAATACATGGTCATGTTTTATTCATCTCTTCTTTTTGTATAGAAAATTCTATAAGAGCAAGAATATTTGAATATATTTGGAGCAGTAGCACAGAGGGTAGGGCTTGCCTTGCACGCAGCCGACCCGGGTTCAATTCCCAGCATTCCATATCATCCCCTGAGCACCGCCAGGAGTGATTCCTGAGTGAAAGCCTGAGCATCGCTGGGTGTGACCCCCCAAAAATATATATATATATTAGAATAAAATCATCCAGGAATTATTTTCCTGGTCATTTCCCAAATTATTTAACACATGCTTTTGCCTCTTTTTAACATACTTTTTAGTATGATCATAGAAAGTAGTTTTATCAACATTAAACAAGTAAAATATTAAGAGTATTGATTTATGTAATAAAAATAAAACCTGGCCACATACTGTCTTCTATTTGTAATCATATGGCATATTCTTTCTAAGACATTTTTACATAAACATTGGTTTGCCAAATATTGCAATGTCATATAATTTAGGGCACTTGAGCTGCTTTTTTTGCTCTTGTGTTGATAAGTATCAGATGTTTGATGAAAGTTTTTTTTTCCTTTTCTCCCTTTAAAGTTCTGAGTAGGGATTTCAATCTTGAATTAATCATATCCAAATTTTGGGTATGTAATTCCTTTCTCTTACTTCCTGGGCTCTCTCCTCTCTCTGAAGAAAGCTCTGTTCTCCATCAAGTTTTGTTCCCTCTTCCTTTTGATAAAATTTTTCTACTTCCAAAAAAATGTAAAAACAAACATCTTCATATAATCTTTAATTGAATATGGACAAGGTTCTGAAGAAGAAAATTGAACAGAAGACTAGACTGCACAGAATTGATTCAAACATTCTCTCCATTGTCTCCACTACCCACCAGGCTGATGTTAGGCAAGAGATTCAATCTTCCAAGGTCATAGTTTTATTGATGTTAAAATAAAGATAATAATGTAAAACAAAGAAAGTGTGGTGATGATTAGATCAACAAAGGTTAGCAAATTTGTATATTGAAGACATTCTTTGTTACTTTAAGTATCTATTTTGTGTAAATGGCATTCTAAGGACTTTGTATGTACTGACTCATTTAAACTGAAATGTAGCTCTATGTTGAATGTATTTTTCTTACCATTATTATATAGAGAGATCATTTGAATCTGTTTCATCCACATAACCATTATATCTTTCATATAAACATATAACCTTTTAGTAGGAAAAAACAAACAGCAAATGAATCTGTTAGGTCATAATTGTACCTCTATCTACATGTCTCAATTGTACGTCTTTATCATCCAACTTAACACCTTTCCAAATAAATGTTTGTAATCAGAATATTATTTCATATGCGGGATCATCATATTTTAGTTACCTAACTTTACCCAGAATTCCTTTTATACTATGAATGATGAGAACAAAAATTATACATTCCATTATCATGTTTCATATGAAATAATTTGAGACCCAAGATAGGATCAACTGAAGCAGCCTTTGATTGTGCTCATCCAAACTGTTAAACAGATCTGATCCAAATCAGTCTTAGGTCATAGTAAAAATGAAAGGCAACAAATGAAAGGAAAGTTCTCATGAACAAAAAACACACCAGCTCGTCCACTGCTTAGCTGGGTGTCCTTGCCCAAGTGGCTTCAACCCTCCGGACCCATTTTATTTTTTGGAAATTGAAGGGGATGCATTAGATCTGGACTAATCCTGAAACTGAAGTCAGCTTTCACTTTAGCCTTGTTTGAGGACACAGTTTTCTTCTGTTAAATTGAATTCTAAATATAAAACTCAATTGATACCACATAGGAACATACATCTCTCTCTTCCCTTGGAAATTTGAAGGCTTGACATTATGGAAGTTATTTTGCTTTTTCCCTTTTTGCATCAGTATAAACCATCAGCTGGATTTGAGCAGTGGCTCACCCCTTCACATGAGACACATACTCCTAACTCTTCCCTTTCCTGTTGCCTTACACTCGGTCTACTATTCATTACCCTGTTGCCTTGTGTTTGTGTGGGAAGGTGGATTTGCCATAATAGGATTACTAATGACCTTCATTTTCTCACTCTTCCATCTCTCTTCACTACATGGTATTCTTTATATTATACTGATAGCCTCGAGCGGGCTCAGTAATATCTCCATTGAGAGACTTGTTACTGTGTTTGGCATATTGAGATACTCTTGGTAGCTTGCCGGGCTCTCTGAGAGGGGCGGAGGAATCGAACCTGGCTCTGCCGAGCCGGCTGCATGCAAGGCAAATGCCATGCCGCTGTGCTATCGCTCCAGCTATACTGATAGCCTAACCATATGGAATTTTTTGTTTGCTTTCTGACAGATTTTATCTTCCTTTCTCAGGGCCTAATTAATCCCCATTGTTTCAAACATTTCCTCTCCATGTTTCCACTTAGGTTTCGGCAGTTTGCTTGGCAACAACTTCTCCTGGAATGAGCGGCTAGAAATCTCCTCATCAGAGGGACCGTGCCTTGTCTCCTGTCTCTGCAGTAGAAAGTGGTTTAACACATCAAGCTTGGCCCAAAAGGTAAGAGAATGCCTTACCCTTCCCATTACTATGAGAAAATAACAGACAGCATTTCTATAAAATCAGAAATCAATTTCTAACACTAATGATTTGTCAGGAAAGTTTACTTTTTTACTTTATTAATTTTTTTTCTCGGGGATTTCCAAGGGTTTTCGGGAACTCTGGGAGTGATTTTTGTCTCACCAGGCCAGTCATTCAGGGCAAGGGCCAGAGGATGCCATATTGCCAACATACAGCCAGGGGCCTCCCTGGATCACATCTAGCATTTGTGAAGGACCATCACTGTCCTCCCATTGTTCATCGATTTTCTCGAGCAGGCCCAGTAACGTCTCCATGGTGAGACTTGTTACTGTATTTGGCATATCGAATATGTCATGGGGAGCTTGCCAGGCTTTGCTGTGTGGGCGAGATACTCTCGGTAGCTTGCCAAGCTTTCCGAGAGGGGCGGAGGAATTGAACTTGGGTCGGCCATGTTGGCTGCGTGCAAGGCAAACGCCCTACCCGCTGTGCTATCACTCCAGCCCGTGAAGGATCATGTAGTGCTAGAATTGAACCAGGTTAGACACAGGCTAAGCTATTGTACCACCTCCCACACCCTATTTCAGCAATATTTAATTACTACTATAGAATATAAATTATCCTTGTCATAAAACCTTGTTCATGAATAACACAAGAGAAAATTGATAACTAAAAAACTGAGTTTTATTTTAAATTCATATTTACAGATGTCTCTGGAACCTTTGACTGATTTTAGTAGTGACCTCTTTTAAGATGAAATATGAAGAGACTAGAGATATGCCTTTGGTGACCTGAGACAATGCCTATTTAAAAATCCATTTCTCCAAGGCCACAGCTAATTGATTCTTGAAACTTCTTTGCTGAAATAACCTTGTCCCACAGGCAATTGTACTTCAATTATTTCTTACTGCACAAGAAAATAATAGTATTTTTATAGAATAGGATATTATAGTCATGAAATACCTAATCATTAACATAGTTTTATTTAAACTGAAAAAAAGCGGACAGTATCAGAAGATTTCTTTGCACAGAGTTTTTGTCCTATGTGATGTACCCAGTTTACAAAAATTATTGCAGCTTTCCTGGAGTTTGCTACAGGAAAAAAATCTAAAATCTCATACTGGCATCAAAAGACTTGTACCATACTTTCATTTTTGCCAGGATTCATTCTGTGATTTGGGCCACTGACTCAGATGCTTCTAAACTAGTTCCTTTGTCTATAAAATGGTCAGTTCTTTTATAGTATCTTTCAAGGTCAAATTGAGTTGACAATAAAGTACAACTGATAATGGAGAGTAATGGAAGAGCTCTATGCAAATTTCCTGAAAGCTTATTTGCCAAAATTAAAATCAACAGAATACCAAGCTTTTTTTGTTTGTTTTGTTTTGTTTTGGGTTTGTTTAGGTTTTATTTGGGGGCCACACCAGCTCAGTTTTCAGGGGCCACAGCTGAGTATTTGGGGATCACTCCCAGTGGTTCTCAGAGGACCTTTTGGTGCCAAAGACTGAGCTAAGAGCTCCTCTTGTATGAAAACTATTAGCTCCAGTCCTTTGAGCTATCTCCCCAGCCCCAAATTATTTTCTTATTTTTATTATTGTCAAAGTTTATGACAATTTGCACTTGATATGTTAGCTATTTTCACTGCCTTTGGAGATTTCTATGCGATTTTAGTGAATAGTTTTTCAATTTGCATCTGAAGAAATGCCTGCTGAGTTTGTCTTTGCTTTAGCCCTTGAGAATGCACTGGGAGAATTTCTCCCATAAGAAAGGATGGGAAGGCATCAACACAGCCAAAACAAAAAAGAACTAGACTGATTTGTGTCATGGCAAAAAATATGGATTCTCCAAATTCAAGACAAATATTTTCAGTATTTAAATATATTAGGCAAATTGATCCTCTTTTAGAACTGTTTTATTAGACTAATGGCATAGCTCTTCCTCTTGAGGATATTATATTTCAAAGGCAGAAAGAGACTGAAAACAAAGCACAAATTAAAAAGTTGACAAATAGGTAATACAGGACCATGGAGATGATTCAAAGGGTTGATGAGCATGTTTTACATGCAGAGGTCCCAGGTTTGTCCATGGTACCCTATAGGTCCATGTGTGCTATAGGGAGTGACCCCTAACGATGTACTATAAGTAGTAATCAAGAGCACTACTAGTTAGGACACAGAAGGGACACTATGTCAGTGATAGAGAGAAATATGGGAATCATCACTCCGGACAGGAACTGAGTGCTGAAAGAAGGCAAAATGATATACTTGATACCCCTTTAAGTACCTGTATTACAAACCATGATGCCTGAAAGGAAAAAGGAAGAGAGAGAGAGAGAGAGAGAAAGAGAGAGAGAGAAGAAAAATGACTGCATTGAAGGCAGGCTCAGGGGTGGGTGGTGGCAAGAGGGAAAGTGGGGACATTGGTGGTAGGAAATGTGCACTGGTGAAGGGATGGATTCTTGGAACATTGTATGACTGAAAGCCAATCAAAAACAACTTCGTAATGTTATATATCATGATGATTCAATAATAAATAAAATAATGAACATACACACACCAACAAAGAGCACTGTCAGTTGTGCCCACCAAAAAAAAATGAATGTAAAAAAAACAGAGTAAGAAGTATAAAAGTGGGTTGCAGAGTGCCAGAGAGATAGTATAGCAGACAAGTGCATGCCTTGCATATGGCCTATCTTGGTTTGATCCCAGGCACCCTGTATGATCACTACAGCCCCACCAGAAGTATCCCTGTATGCAGAACCAGGAATAATCCCTGATGACAGCCAGATGTAGCCCCCAAACAAACAAACAAAAATTATTCTTCTAAAAAAAAATGGAATGCAGAGGCAGACAGAGACTTGAACTTGCTTCATGGTCAGAACGGTATGAGTCAAGAAAGCTGTTTGCATTTTCCTCCCTGTCCCACATATGATAAAAATTACATTACCTTAGTTTCCCAGCATTTCTGCTGGTAGGTACATGGGATATGGCCAGGTCAATGAGTTTTATCTAAGAAAGGTATGTGCTACTTTTGTGTTAGAGCATTCATAATTTTTTTCTAACTTCCTTGTGGCATTCTTCTGGATAATATAATCCAAGGTGTGGTTGCTCCCTTAGCTTGGAACTTGTATGACTTAAAAAGACAGTGATCAGATAGAAAAGGGAGCACCAAATAAAGGGTGTTGGGAGGTTCCTTTCAGGATGGGAGATGCGTGATGAGAGTAGACTATAGACCGAACATGATTGCCACTCAACGTCTCTTTTGCAAACCACAGCACTCAAAAGGAGAGAGATAACAAAAGGGAATGCCCTGCCACAGAGGTAGGGTGGGATGGGGGGATGGGGGGTAGGAGGGATACTGGGACTGGTGGTGGTGGAGAATGGGCACTGGTGGAGGGATAGGTATTCGATCATTGTATAACTGAAACCCAAGCACAAAAATCTGTATGTCTACAAATGTACCTCATGGTGTTTCACTAATAAAAATTTAAGGAAATAAAAAAGACAGTGATCAACTAACCATTTGAACATATAGCAAGAGCAAGCAATTGACTTTTATTGTCTTAAACCACTGAGAAAGGAAAGCTTTTTGTTCAAGAAGCTTAACTGAGACTATTCTATTGTAAGGCATCTCTTAAAATATAGAATAATAAAGCCTTAAGACAGGCGACTTTAAGCTTGACTGGTCACAGAATCAAAAGAAGCCAATATGACTGGATTATAGTGAATCAGGGAAAATCAGCAAATAATCTTTAGAGTTCCTTCTAACTTCTCAATCCCTGCCTATTCTGATTCCAAACCTATTCCAATGTTTATATTCCAGGCAGAGCTTTAAGATAGATAAGTAACACGACTCCAAATGTCTTTGATTTATTTACACAAATTAAACCCTCATATTTTATCTCTTGGATTATGATCTGTTTTTTAATCAAGAATTCTGCTGGAGTACTATTGATATAATAATGCAGCCCTAATGCCTTTTCCTAGCTGAGTGCATCTATCCTTTCAGTCAATACCCACCGAAATGTCAAATGAGATTCACTTGGGTATATGGACCATTCATAACTTGAGCTGAGGCTTAGGATAGGCAGCCCACAGCATTTTCCATTCAAATAATATATAAGATGGTGCCGTTTTTAAGCTCTTAGCTTAAATGCCAATTTCTAATATTATTGCAAAAGAATTTAGGGTTGAAGTCCAAACTTTTATGAAATTCATCATCGCTCCTTTAACAAATACTCAAGAGAAAACTTTTTGCACATATAATTAATAAAGATACCAGGACCCCCTCCCCCAAAAAACAACAAAAAAAGTAAGTTGTATGAGATGCTGTTTATTTCCTTAGAATAGAAGAATAGCCGAGTCAGTCCTCTTGGGATTTGACAACTAAGGTATTTCTTTAGCCTTGACATCTATGAGATATAGCCACTGATCTTGTAACAGCTTTTACTGAAGTTTGATTGAACTAGAAGAAATACATCTCTCTGATATTATAGTAATTCTTATATAGATCTTAATGTTTTAGGGAATTTTATTGAGGAGAATTAATCCTACTTAAGAAAAAAATGTGGGATAAGGTGAAAAAATGGATCAAAAAATAAAACTGAGCCCCGATTGTAATCCAGGTTCAGTGCTAGCTTTTCTTCTGTGTACACCATATAGTAGGGGCAGCAACTCTGAGAGGCAATAATGACTCAGCTAGTCAGTGGAAGAGATGAAAAGGATAGGGCCTTCTCCCCATAATGACCCTATTTTTTATGTTCTACCACTTATACTAATATGTAAAAGCGTCTCTCTACTCACTACAGTCTAATCATAATGACCAAGTACTGCATTTCTATGTCTAGACTTATCCTCTAAAGATAAATACTAAATCATTATTGATTTATTATACACCTAGATTCAGATGAACTTCTAAACAGAGCTGGCTATAATAAGCTGTGCTCTGCTAATTGTACATCTTCCCTTTATTCAGCTTCATCC